TTTTCCGGAAAACATTTTTTAGGTACTATCGGGCACAATCCCGAGAAGTCGGGCAAATTTCTTTCCGCCTCCCTAATTTTTTCCTTCCGGTACGCCCATGATGTTACGAGCCAAAGACATTTTCAAGGTAAAATGTTATAACTTAAACTGCACAACATAGTTTTAATAAATAAGTACTTTCTGAGAAGCATATTGGTGTCATATCGATATGAATTTTATCGAACAACAGTCCGTGAAAACTGCAGTGTACTCAGTGACAGTGTGAAATATGATATTGTATTTGTATAAATGCCTATTAATGGCACAATAGCCAATAAGGATAAAAATACCACCGTTCGATTCAGCGTGGGAAATTGCACTTATATACGAATGAGAAATTGTACCTGCGGGTGTCAAATGTATTACTAAACAACTGACAACAGTATTCTAGCGATTTATGGCCTTTGTTTTTGAAAGCCAAGCGAAATTGTATAATTTCTTGACAAATTGCTCAAACCTCAAATTATAAAAAATGCAATATGTTTGATCCTTGATAACTTTGGTATCGTTGGTTTTCTCTTTTTCGGCCGTATACCAGTGAATTCGTCTCACTTCTCTCTTCATTTTGATAATATTTTGAGCCCAAAAGCCCAAAAATATTTTAGTTTGGACGTTTTAAACTGGCGGCCAACAGAAGAATGTAGCGTACTACAAAATATAACTTTTAATACTTGTGGGCCATAAACGCCGGAAGTTTTATTTGTAGGGTACCGCATTTTAGTGTGTTAAGCTTTCGCACTCGTATTCGAGTTTTCCGCTTAGCTTGGGGTCAGGCTTAGATCTTAATAGACCTTTCCCTTTTTCAGTGAAATTTTGATCTAGATTAGCCTGGACAAAAATTTCATCACAGCTTGAAAGGGCATTGCAGAATTAGTAATATTCCGAAGTTTCGTTGCAAAAAAGTTGTAAAATGCGGATAATATAGCCTTGCGAAGTTTGCCATTTTTCAGTCATTTTGCATTATAAACGGAAAATTGATAATCAGATAAGGAAAACTGATGATCAATATCCCATTTGTAATACAAAATGACTGAAAAACGGCAAACTTCGCATGGCTATATTATCCGCATTGCAACGAAACTTCGGAATATTACTAATTCTGCAATGCTCTTTCAAGCTGTGATGAAATTTCTGTCCACGCTAGTCTAGATTAAAATTTTACTTAAAAGAGGAAAGGTCTATTGAAATAGCTGTGTACTGTATCTGGCATCATATACAGTAATGTGCGTATTTGTATAGCCCCAGCGAGTTAACGCTCCATAGAGCGTCTTGTTTATTATTTAGTTGCATACTTCTTTCTGTACCTGTGATTCGGAGCATTAAATGTAGTTCATCAATAACGACATTTTCCAACTTCATATCAAGCAGGGGTTGGAATTGACAAGAAAATTGACCTTTTAATGCACATTCTTTGATGTCCTCAATTGATCGACCGTGTTGAGTTTCCCAGTAGTCTAGATGCCTTAGCATATCACATCTACAAAGTAAAAATATGTTAAATGATATTAATGAGATTTTACTTGCATGGGTAGGATTACATCGCTTGAGACTGGTTTCTAAATATAGCCACCATGGTGAGTGGCTTTGTCATGAACCAAATGATGCTGTGTGAGTAAAGCCTGGTTCGATGTAATTGTACCAATAAAAGAAACTGAAAAGTGCAAATCAAGAATTCAGCTTTATGTAAAAACATTGCATGACTGATTATTGTATTACCAAACAGTACTGAAATTTGCAGGAATTACCTTGTAATCACCTCCTAGATAAAATTCAACAGGCACATCTTTTCCTTTAATGTTGATTTTTCCTGCTTTTACCAATCTGTTGATGCAGCTAAAAATCTTTGAACACGAAGCCTTCAAAAGGTTGTAATCTTCATAACCTTTGATTACTGAAACTGTGTGGTTCCCTTTTGTGTGTAATGAAGAAAAAATAAGGTTTGTTATTTTCACTCAAATTTATGTATTGGTTGGATTACTCAAGTAAAGTATGTCATCAATTTAGTATGTCATCAAGTCAGAAATTTATTATTTGACCTGCAATTTTAAAAGATTTACCTTTCGAAGACATAACAGTTTCTTCCAGATTAAGAACAGAGAAGCTGATCACAATGAAATTTGTCAACCTTGTCATCTTTGCACCATCTCCACTGACTTTCACTTTGACTGGACCGTCACCTAATTTGCTATCAGTCTCCATCTAAAGATTAATGAAGAATTTAAAATATTGAAAATTAATAATAATTTCTAACTTTAGTGATGAGCAATGATTGGCTAACTCAAAATTTCTAATCACAGTAGGTTTTTACCCAGCCTGGGACACCACAGCATCCACCATCCCTGACAGGTACATAATAGTTTATTTAAATCTTAATGATTAAAGAATGACCAAAATAGGATTCTTACCATATTTCCAATTACATGACTTAACTCATCTTCAAAATCTTCCCTTTTAAGCTTGTTAATGTCAATAGTGGCCTTGTCGATTTTTATTTGGCTTTGACTCACCAGTGCTGATGCTTCCTTACATTTGATGTCTAATGCCTTATTATCACGAGTAATCGTCGCATTTACACTTTCAAGCTGCGAAACTTGGCTTTGCAAATCGTTTACCAAGGCAACCGTACTAAGTTCGCTATGACGAATAGCAACACTCTTCACCTTGGCAAGTAGACTTTGCTGAGCTTCTCCATGTTTCCCGATAGCTTGCTTAGACACTTTCGTGCAATGTATACGAAGGCATTCATTGACTCTTGAACAGCACTCCTGAATCTACAGTGAATACTGTTTGCCAATAAATGCGTTCAGTATTTGTACGTACGTGCAGTCAGCCAATATCGTGTGCTTTGCATTGTGCCAACTGTTTAGTTGTTCAAACGGAATGTGAAGCGTAAAGGCAACTTGTTCAGGATCAACATCGTATCTTTTAACCAAGTTTGGGCAATGCTCGCTATCAACAACTATTTTCCTTTTAAATTTTGTATTAGAATATGTATCCAGAGCGTTTGCCACAAATTTGCATTAAATTTGCATGTCATAGAAGGAAACAGAACGATTCTAATTTCCCGCTACATTGCGCGATAAGCGTTCGCGGTTGTTAGTTACCATAGTAACGACACAGGAAGTAAATAGGTAAAGGGAGTATGCGCTGAGCAGTAACACCGCCGTCTCTAGAAATGTATTGCGAAAGAAAGCTCTGTTTCTAAGCTATAATTTGATGTATTGCTCGACGAATTCCGACAAATATAACACTGAAAACTTTGCGTTCAAAGACAACGCCTTCGAGTTTCACATTTCAAACTTACATTCTCAAAGTATTTCTGTCTTTAAATTTAAAGCATCGCTTCTTGATGAACAAAATGGACCTGTCAAACGGTGTATATTTAAACAAATGGAAGGGTTGTTGTGTGGTGTATGGTGGCCCAGAACTACCATAAGAAAATGTTCTTTTTTTGTTAAAATTTTTATTTTAAAAAATAATAATTAAAAATATTTAAATAAAAATAAAATAAAAACAAAATTAAAATAAAAAGAAATGAAATGAAAATGAAATTAATATACTTACATGGCCCACAACTGCCATAGCATTTTTTTTTAAAACTAAAATCATTTTTCACATTGGCCCAGAGCTGCCATAGACCAGCATATCTTGCGACGCGACTGACCAGTTGAAATTCCTAACACCAAGTACTGGCTCTTCGGAAACTCGTGCACTTGTGTTTAAACATGGCTGCCAAAGACAACGCATGGCGTTCGTTCCAGGAAGAAATGAAACGAAAACGGACAAAAGTTGGGGCAAAGGATCGTAAACGGGTAAAGAAATCTGAACTAGTCGTTCAACGTCTAAGTGCCGAAGTGGCAGGCAAAGCGCAGAAATTTTCTAGAGTGGGTCCGCGAGAATTTGTACACTATGACCCAGACGAAGACTTGACGCTAGAGGGTATAAAATCAGCATGTGAAAAACATTTCGCTCGTACTCTGTCTGGAAATCTTAAGTGTGATGTACTAGCTGGCGAACAAGGACCCTCCTGCAAAACATTAGACCAGGTACCCAATGTTACTAAGCTGATTCATGTTCGCTTTATGAAATGTGATGAGAACGACATGTATAAAGGTATAAACAGTGACAGCTCTGACGAAGGTACCCAACGACACGTGAAAGGAAAACAACCCCCAAAATCCTGCGGTGCAGTACCTTCACCTCCCAAAGTTTCGCCAGCTACAAGTCAATATTATCCTAAAAGTCTGTCTGTACTCGACATGTTAAAAATGGGTAAGGTTGTAGACAAGAAAAGTACGACTGTTATCACTCTCCATTCCTTCAATATCGAGTTGATGGCTTGGAACAAAATCCCCACCACAGTTGAATTTGTTGTTGATGAACAGGAACTGGGATCCGGGGGATTCCGTACAGCATTTAAAGCAACAACCCAACACCCTATGTATGCTAATACCACTTGGGTTGTAAAGCGATACTTGCCCGAAGCAAAGGTTTTAATTCAAGAAACGAATCAAAACATTGAGGCACACACAAAGAAAGCAGTGCAGATGCATGTTTTAGCACGGAATTTCGCACGTCAACTTAAGAGGGTCATGGCATCATCAGTGGATAGCCAGTATGGTCCATCTCTTCAGTATAATAAAGTATATTTTGGGATGACCGATGGTAATGAATGTGTTACTGTGGAAGAGTATGTTGATGGCAAATTTATCAAGTATATTAACAACGATGGCATCTCTTGTGTTGAGCAATCAGATGATATGTGCCAAAAGGCACATTGCCTTGCTCATTTTTCTTACGAAAGGTCTGATAAGAAGCTTATTATCCTTGATATACAAGGAAGTGGTCACACACTTTTTGACCCAGAGATAGCAACCTCTGAGATGTCCGACAAGGATTCTGAGATGTTATTTTGCAGTGGAAATTTGTCTATGGTTGCAATTAAGAACTTTGTCAAAGAGCATCAATGTAATAATTACTGCATATCTGCTGGCCTTACAAAATTGAAGTGATCAGACTGTCTGATTCCTTTAAAAAACTGAGCTTATATATACATGTACACTAACATATAACAGCTTACTTTTAAAAGTATGACAGAACATGCTGTGTCAAAGCAAGGCATGGTGTTAAAACAATGTAAACGAGGGAGAACTACACTCCCTCAATTGCATCTACTGTATGCATAGACAGAAGCATTTTTATATTCACATTTTTATCCAGGGTGTCCATGGTTAGATGCTATTGTGTTTCCTTGCTACCCCTATTGTGTAAAATTGTAAATGAATTTACACGGGTCAAAAGACAAAAACAGTTAGCTGTCAATCATTTTATATCTTGTAAATATTTTGTTGAGTTAGTGTTTATCATTTAAACTTTAAATAATGACATGAATATTTATGTTTCGGGACTATCATGTACAGTATGTTGAGTTAATACAGGTATGTTAACACATTTTTACAGTCACTGTGTTTGATCACTTTGATGAAATCTTTGCTTTAAATACAAGTATGCATCTGCACAATCAGAGGGTTCAACCTTTTCTGGAAAAGGTATAATAGCTTCACATTTTCTTCTTATTTCTGGTGGAAGGAAGTCGTTGTCTATTTCAAGAACTCCAGAATGTCGAGCAACCTCAGCTAATTGCTCTTCTGTCACAGGAAAACCTATTAAATGCACATGTAGAAACAGTTACAGTTAAGTAGTCTCACTAATAAGCCCCACACGGCGTTTATTGTTCCAGGCACATTGAGGGCAGGGGGGTTATTGAACTTCATCTAAAAAGGGTGAGGCTTACCACATTCTTCCAACTTATATTCTTGTGGAAAGCTATAAATGTGATCAGGAACACCATCGGGTAGCAGCGTGTCTTTCTGACAACGAATTCTGTGGCTGTTCCACACTGTTTCTCGAAAAATGTCAAGTTGAACTTGCAGAACAGGAATAAGCAGGAATGCCAGGAGCATCCTGAAATCATATAGACATTAGCTAAACTTCAGTAAAGTCTACATATTAATGTTGATGCAATAGAAGTCATAGAAGTGTTATAAAATATTGCATCAATTCATTTCCTCAAGTTGATCAATTCATTTGACAGAAAATTTATCAACTTTCTGTTACTTCTAGATGAGAAAATTATATTTCGTTCAGAACCGACTAACCAATAGGAAACGCACAGGAAGTAAAAAGAAATTTGAATTCATATGAATTGATCAACTTGAGGAAATGAATTGATGCAATATTTTAACACTTCTATTGCATTGACAGTAAACAGAATATATTAAAAAAGAGCTTGATGACATACTATACACACCTATGATCATCATCATCATCAGGATTATAGTGGCCCTCATTCTTTAGCCAGGACAATTGCACCTTAAAGTACTTTTCCATGCGCTCGTGAAGCTCCTTCCACCAACGTTCTATCTATAGGGATTGTTATAGAAGTTTTATTCAGTTGTAAAATAAGAAATATTGAGAGCTAACCCATATCCCAACATCCTCTTAGCTTGTAAAATTCAAAGCCATCTGTCCCTGTAGTTTTGGGAATTGATTGTATGATTCCACACAGAACATCTGGTCATGACAAACCGTAAAATAATGAGTATTGGGGAGACTCTTAAAGTGATCAACATTTTACCTGGTTTGACGTGGAAGGTCCATAAAGTACCGTGTCAAATGGATCCATGTCACCATGGCTTTGCCTAAGAAACGAATGTATTGTAGTCATGATCCCAGTCTCAGTTCCTTTATCGACGCGTAACATTGAGGCCATTCTTTTCGTTTCATATAGGTGCTCTAAATACCAACGTCCAATTCTTTTTGGGTGAGAGTTACTATCCCAAATTTTTAACCACAGGATTTTTCTACTTGCAGTATCAATTGAGCCATATATAGCTAATGGGAACGTACTGTTCTGGTATCCCATTAGCTTATCATGGCCGTCCATCGAGTGTACAAAATTGGTGCCTCTTGTTGTAAAATTGCCTTTAACTTTTCTTTTCCTCGCCGTTGGGTCACGAGCTTCGAGTCCTTCCGGGTCTACCTCAAACATCACGGCATGTACTAAATTTCTAGGGACATTTAGATGATATTCTTGCCTTATTTTATTGTACATCGCTCTATACCCCAACAGTTTGCCAGGACCGTTGATCTCTTTCTCGACAGCTGTTCTAACTTCTTCGACACTAACACTTTCGTCAGTCCGGCGAATGTCAAAGTGCTTTAGATGTCGATCCAACGTTCTCAAACTCCAAGCATATTCACCAAAATCTCGCTTCATAAAATCCAGTATTTCGAGACGTTGTAGGTTGCTCCTTACATGCTTTTCAAGTTCCGTTTTCAAGTTTTCGTCTTCTTTCCAATCTGCATTGCGAATTCTGTCCGCCATTTTGAACTGAACATAGCCACAATGGGTGGAATACTTGGTGTTAGGAATTTCAACTGGTCAGTCGCGTCGCAAGATATGCTGGTCTATGGCAGCTCTGGGCCAATGTGAAAAATGATTTTAGTTTTAAAAAAAAATGCTATGGCAGTTGTGGGCCATGTAAGTATATTAATTTCATTTTCATTTCATTTCTTTTTATTTTAATTTTGTTTTTATTTTATTTTTATTTAAATATTTTTAATTATTATTTTTTAAAATAAAAATTTTAACAAAAAAAGAACATTTTCTTATGGCAGTCCTCGGCCACCATAGTGGTGTATTACTCAAACTTTGCAAAGCAAACGGCACAAATGGAAAAGCAATGCTGAGCAACTTGCTCGAGGTCTTTGAATATCGTGAAATTCGGGATTTTCGCCAAACTTCCATAGGTTAGTATAGCAATTATATATATATTTTTTCTCGTTCGGTTTGGACCTGTTATTTTATCCAAATAAAATCTCAAATTTTGCCCAATGTGAAGATTTGGGTATGCGAAACTATGGACCAACGGCACAAAATTGAAATACTTTGTTGGTAGACTTCTATTGTACTTTTTGTGAACACTTACTAATAATTTTATATTGCTCTCAGACGCCATATTTTACTGTGCGTGCGCTTGCGCAATACTGCGTGTCTCGAATTTCTGGCCATGAGAGATGACATCATCGACGAAACGTTTCCAAAACGATATAGATACCGGAACAGAAGCTAAAGCTCTTTGTTCGACATCTTCCATTACTAAATTAGCAATTACTGCCGATACTGGTGGCCCCATCGCTGTTCCAAAAACCTGTTGATAATAACAGCCCTCGAACACAAAATATGTGGTGTTGAGACAAAAAGACAGAAGATCAATAATATCTTCAACGGGCAAGGATGTTCTTTGTAACAAAGTGGCATCCTGTCTTAGTCTTTTTGTCGCAACCTTGATGGCAAGATCAACTGGGATGGACAACAATAGGTCTCGATGGAATTTCCGGTTTATGGATTTTCGAACCATAGAAACGCGGAAATAGTCCATCACTGCTGTATAACTTTTCATTGTAGCCTTGCTGATAATATTGGGTTCATTCAAAAGAAGTAACTTGGCGTTTAAACCTCTTTGAGTCTTTCCAGTAGGATCAGACTTGAGAATAGAATACGTATTTCTGTCATTCAACAGTGAAAGAGCCTTCTCGCGATAATCATGTTTGTCCATAACAACAACACAATTGCCTTTGCCCGCTGAAAGAATAACCCTGTCCGGATCTTTTCGTAAGAGCAAGAGCAAGTAAAGCTTTGAAAACATTCGAATAAATGTTTTTGGGAGGTATTTTGGCACGTCTAAGAATGCTACTGACCTCAGCTCTTACCAATCGCTTAGCATCATCGTCTAGTGGAAAATTCCTTCTTCAATTTGCTTTTTGTAGGAACGAAAATAACTCCGAGGGTGATACCTCTGTTAAGGGTTATGCAATAGTTCCATACATTCAAGGTGTCACAGAACCAATCAATTGTAATATTAAAGTTGCCTTAAAACCCTATTTGACTTTAGGCCATGTTTTCGCAAAGCCAAAGATCCTGTTAAAACAAATCAGAAAACTCTCACAAAAGTACTGCATATTCTATACCATGCGGTGACTGCGAGAAAGAGTATTTGGGTCAGTCTAAACGCCAGTTTGGTACGCGGATAAAAGAACATCAAAAGGCTGTTTCAACTTTAGACAAGAGAAAATCAGCTTTAGCCAAACATGTATGTTACACCAAACACGAGATTGCGTGGGAAAACTCTAAAGTAATTACCACAAACAATCGCTATGGTCAAAGACTTTGCCTAGAAGCGTGGGATATAAATATGAGTAATCATGCTTTGAATAGGGATGACGGTGCCTATTTGTCAGAGGAATATATGCATCTCATTGACAAGTGACGTCATCCCTTGGGTATCTAAGAAGCCACGATTGCAATTTTGGATCATCCCTGATGAAGACACTAGACTGGAATGTCGAAACGTTGGGTCCTGATTACAATTCGAATGGGCTTTGTAATCATTTATTTAAACCAGAGTAGCGAGCGAAATATGATTGATATACCTGGTTGCAGTGAACGAACAAATTTTAAATCTACTTGAATGTTTTAAAAGGTTTTCACACCGATTTTCACAACAAAACTAAATTTAAGAAACGTTGGATTGAGTCAGTGTGTTATTGTGCTCTCAATTTTTCATATTTTGAACATATATATATATTTTATTTTCATTTCAAATAAGTAAAAAAATATCTGTGTGATACATATAAGCCAAAAACTCAAAGTGAAAATTGCTAAAAAAGCCAACTATAAACCGTACGCGTTTCGTGTTCCTCACGCATTATAATTTACACGCATGCGCAAATAGTGATCATGTCGAATCGATATTTTGTCACGTCGACAGCTTCAACTGGATTTAGGACTATTTTTCTCGCGTTTTCGTTGGTGAAAATTTTTTAAAATTTGCACGTTTGCTAAGCATGACAATTCGCCAAACATATCAAAATTTCAAGAAACTCTATAAGACAGACTTTTTGTAGTCGTCATTCATGAATATCTCAAAACGTGCCTTATAAACACCCCTTCAAATTTTAATATGGCATTCCTCTTTCAACCATAAATTCTAAAAAAGAATTCAGAAAAATTGAACGAAGGAAAAAAAGGATATTGCCGTTTGATTGTAAAATTAGACAATAAAAGTGACTTCGGAACTTTCCTGGAAATAATTATATTGCCTTGTCTTAAGTGTGTTCAATATAAATTTGGTTGAAAACGAAGGTTACCTAAAATACTTAAAATTAATTTAGAAAACTGTAGGGAAGCCACCTTAAAGCGCGAGATGAAAGTGGGATATAAAAAAGCTCAAATATCACTTAGTACGTAATTAACGTTTTAATTAACATGTTTTCGAATGCGTCCGATAATAATTGCGAAAAAAATTTAAAACTGACTACAATTCCAAAGTCAACGTTTTTTGTTCATTTTATGAATGACTTCTTTCACACAGAAAATATGAAAGAATTCTCTAATCTTACGAAATTCGAGTGGTCGGTTTTTACACGGTCTGCTTCTTAAAGTGTTAAATAAAGTAAGGCATGAGTTATACAATCAGTCATAATGCGCAAAGTATTTCTAGAAGTGTTAGCAAACGTAGTGTTATATGTGCAGCAATCCAAAGATGACACAAAGTTATTTCCGTTAAACATCATAGTGTAAAGGTAACATTAAAAGTAACTTAATGTAGATACTGAATATTTTAATACAGTGAGAAAGAAACTCCCTGCGAAGACTAACAAAAATTTTGTTAAAAGGAGCTAGTCAACTTACCTAAACTTGTCTGCCACTCGGCACTTCACTCTGTGGTTACCCAGACCAAGGTCAATATATTTTTGTTCATCCAGATATACATAATACTATAAAAGGAAATTAAAGTTTAAATTTATGTCATAAAAAGTAGATATTATATTTTTCAATGTACAATGCATCACAAGAATGTTCAAATCTATCATGCAGGGTACGCCTCAAGTAGGTATACGGCATATGTTGTTAAAATATAGGTAAGTGAGGGGGGGGGGGTGCTATAATGATCCTTACAGTATTTGTTGGTGAGAGGCTAAACTGAATTACGAAAGACACAGCTCAAACTGGTCGAGTCGAACGCCTTCTAAGGGCACCTCTGGCATGCAGCCACCTTATGTCACAAGTCTGACAGAGGCTCAATACAACGCACCCTGCCAGCATTCCCTGTGGGTGGCAAGCGGAGTGCCCGAAGAAAATCCACGACTTTCAGAAGTGCGTTGACTGACTCTTTTCATGAGTCCGCAGCAAGAATTGAACATGAAGATGCTTTCTCTGACGATTGCGCCACAACAGGTGGGAATATTGTCTGAGCATGCACGAAAACTGCGCGTGCATGTATTATGCGGGAAATGATATATGTGTTTGCACTTGATTGATTCTAAAACAAAAACAACCTAAACGAAGCCTAATTCGGACGCCAAGTTCGTAGCTGCTGTTTGAAGCCACAAATCACTACAACAACTGGATTAATTGAAAAAAATATTTCTGTAATACTTTGGTTTCCTTTGCTGCAATTGGAGTTAGGGTTAGGTTTTGTCAGGGCAAAGTATTCAATATCGGTTATTTCAGCACAAAACAAAACAGCAAAATAATTATAATGCACCGAAAATGTCGTCTGATAGCTTCAATAAAATGTGAAATTCAAAACAAAAAAAAATTAACACCAACTTGAAAATGCTTTCAAATTATTGCAAAACCGCGAAAATTTGGCGGCACTTTGAGTCTAACCTGATAGACGTGAGCAGACGTGTATTCTTGTGCTCCAGATAGACCTTGAAATATGAATATGATGGTGGCCTCCTCAACCGTTTCGAACATCTTGTACAGTTATTTTAACATTAAAAGGAGCAAACTGATTTGCATGGACTGGATCGCTCGAAACTCAGAAAGCGTTTGTCCTCACAGAGATTAATGAAGACACTGCCGAAACAACTACATGGCGCTCGCCCAGTGGCGGTAAATGGCTATTTGACAGCAAGTTGTTATCAGTTACTTGGCTAACAAAAAGCCAGAATATTCATTTCGACGGTGAGAAGGGCAGTGACTTGATGGAACGAATACATTCATTTTTAAAGCAAGACCCGGACAATGCTTCAAAATCGCTAATCCTGCTGAACTTGATCTACAGGGTGTCCCAAAAAACCCGAAAACTATTGAAATCACCAATAGCAATTTAATTGTTAGAATTTGAATGCCTTAGCGCTCTGTTGGTTCCCACAAGTGCATAAATGATTGACATAAGTAAATTTTATGCATAAAGAAACTGTTTAAGAACTTGTTTTTAATTCCCAGGAACAGAAAATCGCGCACTTTACCAGGAGATATTCCTAACTAAATTCTAATACATGCACCTTGTCAATATTTTACGCATCATTACGTCCAGCTGTTTGGTAGGGCATTCAAATTTAACAATAAGTGATTTCAACAGTTTTCGTTATTTTTGGGACACCCTGTCGAACGGTCGATTGAAAGTTTGCTAGCTGACGATTCTGACGATGTCAGAGATGATACTTTTGAAGAATCGTTCAGTGATCAATGTGATATTGCAAAGGAATTGAAAAACCAAGATGAAAAACAAGCCAGTATAGATTCCGAAACCAGTACAAAGCACGATGAATCGAACATGAAGTCAAAAAATTTACATGAAGAGTCCATCGGTCTATATACGGTGACAAAGTCTGGCAATCTGCAAACAAAATCAACAAATAGGCATAATCCCTTGGGAAGTAGTGCCAGCTGTAATCGCGACTCCGCTGAGATTAGTCGACTGAATTCGAAACTTGACCGATTTTCTGAAAACATGACAAACAAATTACAAAATCTCAGCGTCGAGATAAACAACATTAAAGAGAACAAACCCTACCCTATTTTGGTTTTAGAAAACGTAGTCAATGATCTAAAGGAAGATAAGCTTGTGCTAATTAGAAAGAACGACGAACTCAGGGAACAAAACATGGATATGTCTCATATTATATCTGATTTGAAAATGGCAAACAAGAATCTGGAAAGCGAAAAGGGCAGCCTGTTGACAGCTCTTAAATTAATACAAAATGACTACCAACAAACGTGCACGAAAACAATTGTGGAAAATGACGGCGAGAATAATGTGGAATTGGTTTGCGAAACAATAAAGGGAAGTGAAGTCACTCAACCAAAACCTTCATCTAATCAGCCCGCAAACGATAAGCATTTTAACACCGAAGCTGGAAAATGGGAAAAATCGTAAAAAGAAGGGAAAGAAATCTAAGTCCAAACCTCCAACACAAAATTCCAGCAAACAAACTGCGGATGTAGATACTTCTGGTGGTATTGTGAACACCTCTAGTTCTAAAGCAACGGGGCAAGGCAAGAAAACAGTTGTTATTGCTGGGGACTCAATTGTTAAAAATACTATTGGTCCGAAAATGAGTGCTGACGATCCTAATCACCACTTTATTGTAAAGCCGTTCCCTGGAGCAACAGTCTCAGATATGGAGGATTTTGTCAAGCCATTGACAAGGACACCGGTCAAGATAATCTTACATGTCGGAACAATTGACCTGAGAAGTCATTCTACGCCGAAAATAATAGCAGACTCCATTGTCAACATTGTAACACAAATAAAAGAAGATTCACCAGGTACAGCCGTTAATTGGCATTTCAGCTATTCTGGTAAGAAATTACATTAATGACCTAGCTGCTAAAGCTATTCAAACTAATAATATTCTTAAAAGCTATTGTAGTCGCAATAGAATCCCCTTTTTAAGTAATTCAAATATGAATGCAAGTCACTTAAATATGAGGGTCTTCATTTAAATAGACAAGGTAGTTTAGCTTTACAACAAAACTTACTAGGTTTTGCAAAAACTATTTCAGATTGACTTTATCCTACTCAGTCCGTTATTCCTACCTCGCGCGGGTTTAAGCTCGCGGCACTTAATGTGAGAAACCTAGTAAATCATATTGATGAGCTGCGAGTTTTGCTTGCTACTAGCCCAATCGATGTCCTAACAATAAATGAGACATGGCTTAATTCTACAATAAGCGATAACGATGTATATATACCTGGATACGAAATCATACGTCGTGACAGGGCATTTAGAAGTGCAGATGGAAAAACGTATGGAGGTATTTGTTTTTATGTACGCTCCAGCGTAAATTTCATACAGCGTAAAGACATGTCTATTGATGATTTAGAAAATCTATGTATTCAAATTCAAAAACCAAATTCTCAGCCATTTCTCGTTGCGACATGGTACAGGCCACCAATTTCCAATGTTGATAAATTTAGTTATTTTGAGACATTTATTGACATGCTTTATGCTGAAAATGGCGAGTACTATTTATTGGGTGACCTAAATTGTGATCTTGGGTCGCCTGATTTAGAGAGTAATTCGAGATCATTAATAGGCATCACTGAACTCTAAAGCCTGCCGCACACGAGAGCTATCTGCTGAGCAAAAAGTTACTCGTGCCTGTTAGCGCAGCCGATAGCTCACCGTGTGCGGGTACATTTTACTGAGTTTTTCGCCTCATGCAACCTTTTCTCACGTATCAAACATGTTTGATTGGTGAGCTATCGGCTGAGCTAACAGGCACGAGTAACTTTTTGCTCAGCAGATAGCTCTCGTGTGCGGCAGGCTTAAGGTTTACATCAATTGATAAGTGAACCGATTCGAATTACTGAAACTTCCTCAACTATGATTGATCATATATTCACCAATATACCAGATAAAATTGTTTGCTCCGGTGTTTCTCATGTCGGTATTAGTGATCACAGCTTAATATATGCATTCCGTAAGCTTTCAACCGGTCTACACAATAATTAAAGGCCATTCTACAGTGAGTTAAAAGACATATGCATGAAAGAGATATTTTAAAAATCAAGGCTATTCGATCTAAAGATATTTATGACTGGGCTGCTTTTAAGAAAGCTCGCAACTCTGTGAACAATGAAATTAAATTTGCGAAGAAAGCCCATTATATGAATGCTTTTCATGAAAACGAGAGTAATGTAAAAAAACTTGGGGCATTATTAATGAATTAACCTCAAGAAAACAAAATAATTCACATGTAAAAGAGATTAAACTAAATGGTTCTTCAGTTAGTGACCCCCCGGGGTTGTCAGAGACGTTTAACACTCATTTTGCTAGCATTGAACCTAAGCTTATGGAGAAGATACTTTGTGATGAAAATAACTGCTCATATTTAGAATATCTCAATTGCCATATTAGTGGTAATACTTTTGAGCTGAAGTCGACAACTTCATCAATGGTTTGTTCCCTTTTGAACAAACACTGTAAATCTAAAGCAACTGGCCGAGATAAAATATCTGCTAAGCTTCTTCGCTACTGTCCTGACCTACTGTCGGAATCCCTTACCGCAATTTTCAACAGCTCTATTAATACTGGTATCTTTCCTGATGAATGGAAATGCTCAAAAGTCATTCCCATTATTTAAACACGGTGAGCGTAGGGACTTGGATAATTATCGCCCAATTTCGATAATCCCTGTTGTAGCGAAGGTTTTCGAGCGAATTATTTATGATCATATATATGCCTTTCTTACTGACAACAATTTACTATGTAATAGCCAGTCAGGGTTTCGATGTCTACATTCAACTGTCACCGCGCTCCTTGAGTCCACCAATAACTGGGCATACAACATTGACCAAGGCCGAGTTAATGCTGTAGTTTTTCTAGATTATAAGAAAGCGTTTGACACAGTTAACCATGGAATTTTACTATCAAAACTGAATGCGTATGGTCTTGGGGGTGCTGTGGGTAACTGGTTTAAGTCTTATCTAAGTGACCGCAGTCAAAAATGCTATGTTAATGTCACCTTTCTAACAATCGTACGTTACTCTGTGGTATTCCACAGGGGACTATTTTAGGACCATTGTTATTTTTACTGTACAGGGTGTCTCAAAAAAACCCAAAATCATTGAAATAACGTATTGTTCGAATTTCAATGCCGTAACACAAAGGATTTTGACAGGGTGATTAATTTGTTTTAAAAAATTAAAATATCTTTGTAAAGTGAACGTTTGTTTGCTCATGGGAATTTAAAAATGCTTCGTAAATTCATGGGTTTAGTACTTTATGCCTGACATAACAAGTTTACGCTGAGTATTACCATTCATTATAGCAGTTATGTCAATCTTTTATGCACTCGTGGGATTAACTTAGTGCTAGGGCATTGAATATCGAACAATACGTCAATTTCAATGATTTTGGGTTTTTTGAGACACCCTCAGGCTGCTCCATTTACTGTTCGGAGTACTCCGGATTTTCGGAACACTAATTAAATCGAACCAATAATGGTCACATGACTGTTCTGACGGTCATATGACTGTTCTAGCTACCCCTACTTTTGAGTAGGGGCAGTCAGAACAGTCATGTGACCGTTTTCGGTTCGATTCGATTAGTGTTCCGAAAATCCGGAGTACTCCGAACAGTAAATGGAGCAGCCTGCCTGTATATAAATGACTTACCAAATTGCCTTGAGCACTCCCAGGCACGATGATACTAATTTACGCGGATGATACTAATTTAACATTTGCAAGCAACAATATTGACGACATAAATTATCACCTTAATCATGACCTTGCAAATGTGAACAAATGGCTTATCGCCAATAGGCTTACCTTAAATCAATCCAAAACTGAATTTATGCTAATTGGCTCACAACAAAGAATAGCCACATTTCGGTCAGTTCCATGTTTAGAAATAGAATTTAGAAATTTGTCCCAGTCGCAACATTGCATTTAATTTTTAATTCCTTGGTTCAGCCATATTTCAATTACTGTTGCACAGTTTGGGACAATTGCAACAAAACCCTAGCTGAAAAACTTCAACAACTACGAAATCGTGCAGTGAGAGTACTAACATTCTCCAGTTATGACACTAATGCTGATGTTTTAATTGAGAAACTTGGCTGGAAAAAATTATCATCCCAGCGCCAGTTTCAAAAAGCTGTCATGGTCTATAAATCATTAAATGGTCTTGTTCCTGATTACATGCATTCCATGTTTGCAAACCGTGACAGTGTTAATCCTTATTCGCTGAGAAACACTGAGAACCAACTAGCTGTTCCCAAGCCCCGCACAAACTATCTCAAGAATAGCTTTAGCTATAGTGGTGCGGTGCTGTGGAACAGTCTACCGATTGGGCTACGGCAAGCAAATAACTTGATAAATTTCCGATCGGGCTGTGCCAAATTATTTTAAATTTCTTTGTATATATTGTTATATTAGCTTAGTACACGGCCCTCGTGAAAAGCAGGTATTATATTTTCTATTTAGCGTGGTTCTACTTTTGTAATTTATCTAATTTAGTTTGTTGCATGTTAAATCCTGATGAGAATACCGTGTGTAAATAAAGTTTTAATAATAATAATAAAATAACATGACAAAATTTGTGTTTACAGAATATTGAACGAGCAAAAAAAGAATACAAAGCTTACCTACAAAATACTTTGAAAAAAAAATTTAAAACTATTACAGTAAAATATTGGAAATAGTGTTCATTCCGTTGCTAATTTCCTGGGTAGGCTTCATCCAACAAATTACACTTGCAAAATTTTCCACAATTAGGTATTTTTTACATTTTTGGTGAGTTTTCATTCTATTGTCTAAAATATAAAGAAAAGCACATCTTCTGACCTAATAACAATTTTTTATTATACACTCACACGCACTTAACCAATCAGTAATCGTCGAGAGAGTCACGTGCCGATCCAATATTTTACGATATTGGACAGGAAGCTATTGGACAGTTGCGAATCGTGGTTTTCATGGTTTTTCAACCCTGTTCAGATGTTTTGTCAATTTCAAACATACGTCAAGCGATATGGCAAAATAATGAAATGAACTTGGGACAATAATACAGTTTTTCTACCAGTTTTGTTTAAAATTATAAAAGCGCGGGAAAACTTGTCTTCGCGAAATTAATTTGTTTGCAACAGCGTCGACGTTAGAAATATTATTATATTTGCTGCCGAAGGCAGCACACTATTCTTGATGATTTGTTTTTCTCGCACCAGTCCGTTTCCGGCCGAGTTATGTATAGCCGAACGACAACTCGGTTTTGGAGGTGTACGGATTTTCAAATTTATGACGTATTTTGACGTCACAGAAATTTAAATAACATACTCCAGATTGCGATTTGACTTTCCGAATACCCTAGCTGTGACTCGCGAACACCACCATGGACAATGGACTACAGTATTACAATTTGTAAATAACACGTTGCCTCGTGCCTTTTGTAAATTTTGATTCCAGCTTGCTGCAAAATTTATGCCTGGCTATTTATCGAAAATATTCTTCAAGGGAAGATGAAAGATTGATTACGAATAACAATGTGTTTTGGTCGAATTATTTTACCCATGAGTCGAATGAATCCACTATTGGAACACACGATGACACAATTGTATACGAAGGAAAAATTATCTGACTTGTACAAAGATATTCCTATAGAAACCCAGTGTGGACTGTTGTCTGCACATAGTAACTTACCAGCAGTTACATCTATTACTGTACGTAATATGTCAACCGACTTTTGTAAAAGGTATGACGGTCTGTAAAAATATATCTCTGAGATATGTCCATTGTTTATAGCATAATATGAAATAATCCTACCAGCCCACATTTATATATTCACCTTGCTATGTCAGTGTCACTACAGTACTCAGGGTATACTATATTTTTTGTTAATACTCAAAATTTTTTGTATTATATAGTTTTGCAGTTCTGACTTCTGACTGAGTACAATCTTAATCATTACAAGTGAATAGTGTCATCCGAAGCTGATATATCGGAAACAAAAGTGTCAACAAATAGATTTTGTCTCTCCATCAGGCATCAGCAGATTTTTTCAGTTTTGCCGAGGGGGGTAGCCTTGAAGGTGCCTTATTATTGTATTAAAATAAAACTTGGAACAAAAACTATAAAATATTTCTATACATGAAATTTTATTAAATTCTACATGTCCAATGATTCATTCAAATATTATTGTTTATATATAATATGATTTTGTACAGTATTCAGTGGCAAGCTAGCTACCTTGGCAACTGGTCATGCCACGCCAATAAACCTGCATCTATTTGAATAATGCAAATCATTAAAAACTCGCATCGCATGAACTGTTTGCTTTGGCTAGCTTCACCACTAACAGTGTTATAATTATACATACAAAAGCAAGAAGTTATAAGTGTTGAAGGTATTCATATAAAACTGACCATGCCAAGAAAGTAGAATTAGAATATTTAGCTGACCTTTGACCTTGTGCAAGGTGTTTGATATTCAGATTGCACTTTTCCTATCTTTTGGTTCCTAAACAGGTGTCTTAGGGCTGTTTACATGGTTGGATCATTTTTGATGTATTTGAATTACAGGCGGCCCAATCTCCGAATGGTCTATATATTTTGAATATTTATACGGAATATATTTAACCGTTATAATATTTAATAACGAAATAATTCAAAAAATATTAGCAGTATATGTAAAAAATATATCTATTAAAGGGCTAACTTTGTGTTTCTGAGTTTAGTTGATGCGATTGCTTTACGTTTTCGTCGTACTTGAACGGTCGTTAGTACTGGCACTGCAGGCTACATAGAACATAAATAAGCCAGTGCCAGTACTGACGACCGTTCAAGTACGACGAAAAACGTAAAGCAATCGCATCAACTAAACTCAGAAACACAACAAATGCATTCTATTAACAAGTTAGCCCTTTATAGATATTTTTTTACATATACTGCTAATATTTTTTGAATTATTTCGTTATTAAATATTATAACGGTTAAATATTCTGTATAAATATTCAAAATATATAGACCATTCGGAGATTGGGCCGCATGTGTTTGAATAAGTCACTAGGCTAAACAAAAGTTCAAATGGTTGTTAACAGAACTCAAATATTGTAGAGAAGATCTTGTGGTTCAAGAAGATTATTACTGTTGCTTGAACAACCTTGACTTTCGTTTACAGTTAAATATAATGTCTAGAAAATGTTTTTTGCTGAATTGTGCACTGTGATTCATTTCAATATATCAAAATCATCCCACCTCATGTCTCGTCCTGGCAAAGCGGGATCTTATAAACAGTCCCTTATTCAGCAAATTGCGCATGGTGCCATCCCTTGGGGTTGAAGCAGAAATTTCCTTGCGATAGTAACTTCTATAGTAATATTATAGGCTGACTGACGTCATATCTACATGTAGACAACCATTGTCTGCAGTTGTGACGTCAGAATTACACGACATCACGAATTATCCGTAGTGGCGCGATGGTTGTCCAATACTGTCGAACGCATACGGATCGTAAAGATGGTAAAACATTGAACACAATCCGTACGGTCTGTACGGACTGTGAAATGGTTTTACTGACCGTCCGAACCGTGCGGTTCGTGAAAATGATTTACGGATCGTGAACCTACTTTGTCGATCCGTAAAGAGCGTCAATGGGTGATGTTGTGTTTAAGTCAGGGCAGAAAAATTTGTCGATCCCGTACGAAGAGCCGAAATAATTATGAGTGTGATCGATAAAAATTGTTTGTCGACCCATTTTTCACCGCTGCGCCTAATTAAAGCAGTGTATAAGAAAAGGTATTATATTGATATACAAGGTTTATAAAAGACCCTGCTAACCCATTAAAATACAATGTTTTTAGAGTTGCATGATTCCACCCGTTTAGCATACACCTCAAGGGGTATTACCCATATGTTCTCAATTGAGAATATTCGGTATTACCCATGCCAGACTATCGCCTGCGCTACCTGACGCTGACGCTTTCGCATATCATTGTACATAAACCAATCACAATCGTGTTTCTATCACACGTTCTTCTCGAATCTCAAGCTCGGGAGCTGCCATATTTGAAAAAAATTCTAGCAGTGTTTCTAGTCTATTTGCGATTCTGTGTAATAAAATGGAGACAGGAAAGAGAAATAGAATAAGCGACAACCAGAGAGATATTTTGGAAAGGTTTTATGGCCGTAGAATGGTCAGTGTTGGTCTAAATTATCGCGAAAAGATCGAAAGCGTTGTAGCAGAAACTGGCTTAACAACGACTCAAGTTAAGGTAAATATTAATATCATAGTGATGTTAATATTGACTATTTAACTCCGTCTCGATGAAATTCTTTGTAGAAGTGGATTGGCAATCAAAAAAAGAAAAGACCTGATGACTGTAATCAGAAAGCAGATATCGAAGCGCAGAGGACATTGAAGAAAGCAAAATCTGTTCGCGGCCCATCTTCCTATAATCTTTTTTGTTCTGAATTCTTTAAAGGAGGTAAGAATATTAGACTTGACTGTCAGCTATTTTATCTAGGCAGGGGTACGCAATGACCTTTAGACCTTGCGCTCACATACAAAAATATACTAATATAAAAACTAGTATCAAGCCTTGCTTGGATGAAAACCAAGATACTTGATCAATAGTGCTACTGTAGGTAGGTAGGTAGGTAAAACTTTATTTAACTACGCTAACCCCTACAGCGGTGGCTGATTTCCAAGGGGGGCGTAGATTTAAATAGTTAAAAAATACAATTGATACAAATTATGGTCATACATTACATTACATTACAGTTAACAATACATTTACAAATACAACTAGTATATAATTATTTACAAATTAATTTAATGTTAGTACTGTTCAATATTAAATTAACGTAATTATTTATTAATTAATTAATTAATTGGCCAGGTGTCGTATACATGAATTAAACGAAGCAAGAGTATGTTTGTTTCTTTCCGTTTGTTCATTAAGGTGCATGCAGAGCTTCCCCATTGACGAGTAAAATTGTCTGGCGTTAGACAAGTAAAAAAAAAGTAGGGGCACAGGGGCACATTACGGCTCAATGGGTTTACAACTAGAGACAATGTTAGATTTTTTGGTTAACCCATTAAGGTGCAGAGCTTCTCCATTGACGAGTAAAATTGTTTGGCATCAGACAAGCAAAAAAAAAAGTAGGGTGCTATGGGACATACATATTTTTCGGCTCATTGAGTTAATAGGAATGCACACTCGATCAAGCACCTTTCTAGGCTAGACCTGTAGGGGTGCATCAGAAACCATTTTTTTAAGTTCCCGGCTGGAACTGGATCTGGCCGGAACTGGAAAAAAGTTCCAGCCGGAACTGATTCATATGGTAATATGTGACTTTGTCTGCTGCCAGACAGTCAGACACTTTCAGTCATCAAGCAGAGAGCAGGCAAATGTTAGAATAAAAAGATTTACTATTGTTAAACGTCATAATAAAGAGTAAATATCAAAATTTTCGAGTCAAAATATTATAAACACTCCAGTCATTTAAGTCAATTGAAACCATTGTTTTTCTTTAAATGAATTGAAATTCCGAACTAATTGATCTCAAGCGTGCGTATTCTAATTTCGTCTATCAGCGCGCGGTTAAGTTAGAATGTATTTTCAAATCCCAGGAGCAAAATAAGTAGCACACACATTGAAATGCTAGTAAGCAGCAAAATTATGTAAATTATAGTGTTTGCAGGTATTTTGATACACCCTGTATTGCATGGCTTCTTAAGAACGGAGCAACAAGATATTATATTGACGTATTACGTGTTTCTTTAGAACGGAGCAACAACATATTATATTGATATATTGCGTGGTTTAATTCTCAAGAACCAAGCAACAACATATTATATTTATATATTGCGTGGTTTCTTAAGAACGGAGCAACAACATATTATAGTGATATATTGCGTGGTTTCTTAAGAACGGAGCAACAACATATCATATTGATATATTGCGTGGTTTCAGTAAGAACGGAGCAACAATATAGGCCTATTGATATATTGCGTGGTTTCTTAAGAACAGAGCAGCAACATATTATATTGATATATTGCGTGGTTTCTTAAGAACGGAGCAACAATATATTATATTGATCTAGCAAACAATGTTTGAAGTTATTATAGGTTCACGATCTGTAAAGCCATTTCACAGTTCGTGTCGACCGTACGGATTTGTCGGATCGTGAATCGTACGAACAGAATGATCCGTCAAACTGTTGGTAGATCTGGGCAACAAGCATCTGCTATTGGAGACTACCTATTGCGTTTACGAGTTGATACGGATCGTGACTCGTGTTTACGGTCCGTACGAATTTGACGGATCGTGAAGCTGCTTCACGATCCGTATCATGCATGTCGACAGTATTGGACATGTATGGGATGAGTGGAAACAGAGATTGTATTACTAATGCATAATAATTTGCCATATTGGGCCCAGAAGAATCCAATAAGATACATAATTTGGTGGCACCATCTGTATGTATGAGAAAATTAAGGTGGAAAACAAGCAATTTGGGGGCACAATATCACTCAAAAATTAAATACAGTATTTACACATTGTTCTGGACACCAAACACAACTACTGCATAATATTTAAATCAATATTTCATTACTATTACGTCCCTGCTCGAGATTATTTGCCATAAAAAACACATATTGTGGAAGAAACTTGATTTCCGGGCATGTTTCAGCAAAGTATTCTTAACTGACTGCTATAATTATGGCCTCGAATGCTTTGTCGTTAATATTTAAGTCTGCTATCTTGCTTTTATTTTTACTCTACTGCAGCATGAGAAACTGGCAAAAAGAAAACGCTCGCGATAAATATTTGGTTGGCGAGGACAATTTTCCCACATGTTCTGCGCCGCCGAAGGGTGAGTAACAAAAAAGGATGACGCTATAACAACTACCGGATTATCTGAACGAATAGATTTCTATGTCCTAAAACGTGATTTGGACACTCAAAAGTATTTGTATATAAACCGAAAACGCACCTGATTCAATGCATCATATAAACTTTCATAAAGACTTTCTAAGTTAAGCAAGATCACCATCGTTCCTGTTTCCATGCATACTTTAATTCGATTGATGTTTCGGCAAATCTGTAATTTGTTAAACATGATTTATTTCTTCAATATGACTTGAATGATGAACCACTGACATACATACACTTATAACACTGACGTTTTCTGATAATAATAATTTATTGTATGTAGAAGAGGGCAGCCATGCACTCAACGAATGCAAATTTGCAGTATAGCAGGCATATAAATTCAATCAGCCACGTCATCGTAATCAAAAACCCGTACTCACCGCCCTGTTAATTTCAGGGAATTAATTTAACTCCAGTGGAATTATTTTGAACCCAATTTGGAGTTAAATATACATTAACATGAAAACATAACATTGAACAGATATGACTATCTGGAGGCCCAACCTGATACTCGGGGTTTCGCCGAAACCTGCTGCAGCGAAAACCCTAATTTTAGGTAATTATTACACGGCAAAACCATAAATCTTCGTTCATATAAACGTATGTGCTGAAAGACTCTCAACTATCGTTTGCTTTACTTGTTTAAATTTGATAATTTACAGGTAAAATTCCTGTAAAAGGTTTTTGTCTCTACATATTACCGGTTTCCTGTACATATAAAACAGTTATTTCTCGTGTGGTTGCCACACAAAACTCTCCGGACGCCACAATGTTTTAAGGAGGCTCCCTACAGCTGCATGCGGGATGTTCGCGGGACCAGAACACGAACTATCCCACGCAAGCGCATGATCAAAACAAAACAAAAATTGACCACGCTTTTTTTAAAAATAAAGCTATTTCTGAAAGGTTTCTAATGGAAAAAAGCGTTGAATAATACTTCGTTTTGAGTGACAAATCTCTTGCGAGTCTATACAGCAATTCTACATATGATACGAATATCACTAGACCAAAAAATAGCTACGAAACAATGTTTTTAAATTTTTTTATACACTTCAACTGACTCAACTGTAAAACATTTGCAAAATTGCATACAAACGTTTAAAAAGTTGTTTACTTCTCAAGAAAACGTTCACGTTTTTAGTCGTGTTTCTACAAGATTAAAGTGATTATATGTAAACAGAAAAATATTTCAGTTTCATAGCCTAATTGTTCATTTTTAGGAAAAAGTACAAAACCAAACATGAAACAAAAAAAACACGTCCACCTGTTAATAGGCTGTTACAGCTAATAGATTGAGTAAACGGCAGGATTCAGTTACTTCAACCTTGTTTTCATCGATTTAATCCTTCACAATAATCCTTGGCTGTCCATAGCACTCAAATAAATCGAAAAGTTGACAAAAACAAAACAGTAAAAACAACATTGCGGCTCGATTTTGCCGAATGAAAACTCGTTCTGCGCCCGCGTACAATCTTTTACTAGTCAGCGACGCTTTTCAATAGGGGAATTTCTCGAGTTACACGAGGCTATTTTCTAACTTTATTTGCATTTTACTCATTAGTTTCATCGGTGACCTATCTTCAAATTTTGACCACGAATTTATTTTGCGGTAAATTTTATAAATTTCAATTTTTAAAAAAATCTGTAGTGTGGAAATTTCGCAATAAATTTTTCGCTTTTAAAAAAATCACACACTACAGAATTTTTTTAAACTTTCACCACAGTTGCAGAGCATCATTCCTTATTGATATATGAAATAAAAAAGATAGGTCACCGACATTGTTTTTGAGATAGTGGCACATTTATGGGTTAAATTGGAAGGCTTTATGCTGTCGTCATGTTGCCATGGGAGCATTGACATCGTCGAAATCTAGTTCGAAATATTCCTTAGGTGACCAATATTGCTACCAAGTCGAAAGGAATTCGCGTTCTGCACGAATAAGCCTGTTTTATGGAATTATTGCTTAAGCAAGAATAACTGTAGGGAGCCACCATAATGTATGCATGTAACCTTTTGTAGCATAGAATTGCCACAATGTGGAAATGCTATTAAACCATTATTATTATTTATTATCATTATTATTATTTTCACGGATACAAGTTTGAATCCACATCAAAGACATGAGGGAATACCATCACATCAAAGACATGAGGGAATACCATCACCTGTACTTGAAACCAGACGTTCTTCTGCTCGCTGACACTTTCGAAAGCTTCCAAAAACATGCAAGGACAACTACAACTTGTACCCAGCATGGTATTACACATGACCTGGACTCGCCTGGGACGCCCTGTTGAAACTGACGAGGATAGACTGTTTGACCCTGACATGTACCTGTTCTTCGAAAGACGAAGACAAGGAGGTCTGTCAATGATCTCCAAAAGACATGGAAAAGCAAACAACCCTTACATGGGTGATGAGCAGAACCCTGAAAAACCAAAAAGTACCTGACCATACCTCGACGCAAACAACCTTTATGGATGGGCAATTAGCAAATCATTGCCGATAGGATTCTTCAAAAGGATGGAAGTGGAAAACCTGACAAACTGGAGAAACACATTGTGCACCATTGAGGTTGACCTGGAGTACCCAAAAGAACTTCATGACTCACACAACGACTATCCACTGGCACCAGAGAATATAATAATTGGTAAAGTGCAAAAGTTGGTTCCAAATCTCAACAAGAAGGAAAAATACGTGGTCAATGCACAAAAAAACTAAAAAACATCATGCACTAAAATGTTATGAGGGTCATGGAATAAGAGTTACCAAAGTCCATCGAGAGATAACGTACAATGAAAGACCATCGATGAAGGGGTACATTGACCTAAATACCTCACTAAGGGCAAAAGGCCAACAACAACTTTGAAAAGGACATCTTCAAGCTGTTGAACAACAGCGTGTTTCGTAAGACCATGGAGAACGTACGCAACCGCCTCGACATCAAACTGGTAACATGAATGAAGAAGGCAAACAGACTAGCCATGAAACCGAACTTTGAGAAGTGCACAATCTTCACAGAAAACCTGATCGTTGTCCACATTAAGAATACAAAACTTCTCTAAGTAAGTCACTCTACTCCGGAGCAAGCTTCCTTGGCATCAGCAAGACACTGATGTACAACTTTCACTACCTCTGTCAGGAAAAAGTATGGAAACATCGAAATCACTGTTTACTAACACAGACAGCCTGTGCTACGAAATATAAACCAAATACTTGACAGGAACAGGACTGTTTGACACCAGCGACTATCCAAAAACCCATCCAAGCGGAATCCCAACCAGAAAGAGTAAAAAGGTCATTGGAATGTTCAAGGACGAAACCGGAGGAAAGTGCATGACCGAGTTTGTTGGTCTCAGGCGAAACTTTACGCTTGCAAAATGCTGGACAACTCGGAAGAAAGGAAGTGTATAGGAGCCGAAAAGTATGTGGTGAAGAAGGGAATCTCCTTTTACGATTACAAAGAATATCTGACAAGAAGGACACAACAAATGAGGAAGATGAATGTCATCCGTAGTCACCAATACACACTGTTCACTGATGAAGTCAACAAAGTAACCCTATCAGCAGACAACGACAAGATAGTGATAAGAAAGGACGGAATCCACTGTATAGTCTAGACAATTAACGACAAAGGTAGGGCAGGGGCGGGCGGGAGGGTTGGGAATGGAGGGGAATAGTGTGAAAGGTTAAGGGAGGAGGGGGCACAGGTTTTCCAAAGTCGTCAAGAGTTTGGAAATTTCTTTTTCCAAAGCGTTTTTCGGAAAAGAAAATTGACTCCTGTTGGGATCTTTTTACAGACATTCCGTAATTTCTTGGAATTTTTGCCGAAAAATAAAAAGGCGGTAAGTGGCGGCGACGGGAGAGAGTAGGAAGGAGCCAAGTGGAGTGAATCTAGATCAGTTTAGATGACCATAAGTCAAACGTAACTACGTTCAAACCGGCCTTTTGACACTACTTACGAGTTAGTTGAAATACATGTAACAGCTATCACTGTGATGGTAATTGAAAAACAATAATATATTATTGTTATTTATTTTATTATATAAAGTACAGTGCTTTATAGGGATTTCGAGCACTGATAAATTTATGATAATCTCACATGTGAAAGTTATCGCTTTTCCACCAATCACGGAGCTGCTTCTCTTGTTTATGGCGGTAAAAAAACATTAATATGCAAGCCAGCAAGCCTACAGTTTTTGAGTTTTGTTTTTCATCTCGTGTAAATTGGTTGTTCTTTTCGTGTTAAATATCTTTCAAAATTTTTGAAGTATGTCATCAAATCACTTTATACCTCACAGTGAAGATGACATTCAATGTTTTTTACTGGACACAGAAGCAAATGCAAATACGAAGAAAAAAACTGCAAGTGACATTGCACTCGTTCAACTTTTTCTTACAAACGAGGGAGAAACCAGTGCCATAGAAGAGATTCCTCCGGCAGATTTAGATCGATACTTATCTTTATTCCTTTTATCAGTCAGAAAAACGTCTGGCGAAGAATATGAACCGACAACTTTGCGAGGCTTCTGTGGACAGATACCTTATAAAATTTAGATACAGCGAGTCAGTCATTACGGGTCAAAGTTTTACAAATACCAGAGATCTTTTGAAGTCAAAACAGAAGCAACTAAAAAGAGTTGGTAAAGGGAATAAACCGCAAGAAGCTTCCCTGTTGACTGATGACGAGATAACTGCACAGTTTACTTCAAGAGTTATGGGGACTCATTCACCACAAGCTCTTATTAACATTCTCTGGTTCAATAATTGTTTGCACTTTGGCTTGAAAGGAGGCAACGAAAAACGAGACTTGAAATGGGGGTGATATTGAGTTAAAAACGGACTTGAATGGCAAAGAATACCTTGAATACTCTACAGAGAGGCAAACGAAAACTAAACCAGGTGATAATCCTGCAAATCGAGGAGCAGTTAAACCAAGAATGTTTGAAAACAAAGCCGTTGGACCCGAGCGGGATCCTGTTTTTGCTACAAACTATATCGAAGCAAACGACCGGAGCAAACCTTATCACTAAACTCGCCATTTTACTTAGCTGTAAACCATTTTCATTCCCAAGAAATATCACACGAATACTGCAAACCGTGGTTTAATTTAAAGCTCAGCCTATGGGTGTAAACAAACTTAATTCTTTGATGAAAGATTGTGCTGTCAAGGCAGGGATTGGAGCTAATAAACGTATTACGAACCATAGTACGAGAAAAAACATTTGTACAAAAGCTACAGGATCATGATGTGCCACCAACACATATTGATTAAGTTACAGGCCACAAAAATCTTCAATCTATAAACAATTATAGTTGTTTACGTGAAGAACAGCAAGAAGCTATTTCATCGTTGTTGTCTGCAGACACTTCGTCGCCATCACAAACGGATGACTCGTACTCAAGGGCATTAACTCTTCCTCTTAAATCAGCAAAGCAACACAATGAAACAGATACTTATTTTGCTTGAAAAGACTGTCCTTTATATAATAAGCAGAAAAATACATGGGTGCTTGGAAATACCAGTGTTAGAAATACTCGCGTTGAACATGATATCTTACTCGTTCGCTGCGCTCACTCGAAATAATTCGTTCAACACTTTAAATAATTCTGGTACTTTCGCGCACCCATGTATTATTCTCTATTTATATCATAGTTCAACATTTAATTGCCTTATCACTGTACCGGTGCTAATATGCCACACGCATGCATTAATCAATAATCCAGTGTATAACAATACTGTAATTTATACTTTATCCCTGGCAGCATGCGAAGTGCTTACTACTTTGTTTGTGGAAGAATTTGACTTAGATCCACAGCTCTCATATAGGGAAGTGTAACTCCTTTTCCTTTTGCACATCCTAGTACATTTTATTATTATAAAAGTGCATTTTCCCATCCCCTTTCAGATAGCAGAAATTTCATTTGTATTTGGTGCTTTTATTGACTGAATGGGGAATAAAACTAAAAGATTGCCAACCAGTTAGAGATAGTTTTGTTAAAATGTAAGTATGTTCCTCTCTCAATAGATATTTCCAGGTATAGACAAAATTTTGATCTCGGCAAAAAGAACAAAATCCATCAGTACAGCTAGAAAGAGATTTTAAATTTAGTAAAATAGCAAAGTTTGGCCGCGAAATGTTGAAAAATGCGGAAAATATAGCCATATGAAACTGGCAAATTTTGTATTAATTTTTATTATGTGCGGGAAATTTTGCGCGCATAATACTAAACTGGGCTTCACAAGGCTATATTTTCCGTATTTACAACATATTGCAACCAAATTTGGCTATTTTACTAATTTAAGGATGTCATTTTTAGCTATAATGATAGATTTCGTCCTTCTTGTCTGAATCAAAATTTAGTCTATAACTGGAATCATCCATAATTAATAGGCCTATCATCAATTTGATAGATTTAGTGTAACATGTAGATTTAGGTTTACAGTTTGAGAAATGAAATGCAAATCAATTGCATTGTATTTTAGATATTCATGCTTCTCAAACTTCAATGTTAGGAAAGTGCTGTGGAAATCATGCATCATCATGCAATTTACAAGCGACTAAGGACATCACAAAAAGACTGTCAAAGACACTGCAACTGCATGTATATGTACAACTTAATGCAGATTGGAATGCTGTTAGTCTTCGCATGCAGGAAAATTGCTAATATGAGGTTATTTAAGGAAACAGCAAAGTCAACAACTATCCTAGATTCCAGAATCTTAAGAAGATGTCTCAACTATACATGATATTCTGGTTAAAAAGTCAAGAAAGTGACATGGCAATTCAAATTTCAAAGACATATGTTTGGAAATTCGTTGCAGTCAATGAGCTTTCGAGCAAATCGCCCTCATGAAATATGAAGAATTGATATACTATGGATATAGTTTGCTTTGAATAGACTGCACTGCTTTCCTTTTCAATACAGCTGTGAAATTACCTCCGTATTTTAAGAAAAAAACTGAAATGGTTACTGAAATTATTCAATGACTTGAACTTATTTTGTTTTATTAAGTGGTTGTCGTGTTCTCATGGCAACACTTGACGCTACAACGTTCATTGTTGACCAATTAGTAACTCTTCATGCTGTATATTTGTCATCGCAAATATATTATTTACCAAACGACCTTTTACTTACCCCACAGTGGGGTCCACTTTTACATGTTCAGGGTAATGGGTATTGACAAACACTCTTCTGGCTTGGCCATCTAAACTCGCGACGTTGATCTTTCCCTCTGATTCAAGAACGGTCCAGAATATACGACGTCCTATCCAATCAATTGTTATGTCATAAGGGCCAGCATTTTCCACAATTGTTTCTTTACCAGTACCGTCAAAATTTGCCCGATAAATATGTGATGCGTTTGTAAAGTAAATTTTCTTTCCTAACGTATCAATGTCCAAACCTTCGTTCTCATTATACTGGAGACTGCGCATAACGACTGTGGTATCAAAAGTTGCCAAATCAGTCGCCAAAATTTTGGTTCTGGTGCGGATAAGTAAGTATGGTTCGGGGTAGGATCCTGTAAAAAACAATGCATGAGTCAAGCAAAAAATGTAATTCGGATTCAGGTCCTGTAGGAATTCTAATAGGAATATTTATGTCCTTCCGGAATTCCAATAGGAATTTGAATTTCCTATACGAATTCCTGTAGGATCCTATGGAATTTTTCGTAAGGGAGCTATAATGGTAAATATACTTCATTTAATTTCGATGGGAGAAAAGGAAACAATTTTTCTTCCCTCCACAGATTATGTCCATTATTACTGATTTGATTTAAAAAAGTAGCACCCCAAAGTCACTTTGTCCAACTTGGTATATCAAAATAAAATATTTTATTACCTTCATACAAACACATCTTTGTGTGCATACGCATCCTTTCTTGAAAGTAATCTTTTTCGGCTTTGCAACATGGTGAATTAATCTCGTGCCGACTTTCGCTTAAACATCTTTGTTCCCAGTCTTTCACGTATTTTTTGTGTTCCTTCAAAAGCTGGTCGCAAATCGGAATATTTTTATTACAAACGATCAGCTTTCCTCCAAAATATATCAAGATAATCAAGCCAATCATGATTTTTGTTGTCAGGATCAATCTCCTCATCTCTATGTAATTTGCTTGTCCAAATAAACATATCATCTGAATAAAAATAATATAAAGATATTTCATATTCGACCAGGGAAAATTAATTGGCAAAGCAAATAAGAATTATTGCCACTTAACAATATTCAAAACCTAAGTTAATATTTGCCCTCAAAAATTGATATTGTTATATAGCTGGGCGATTTATTTAACCGTCTAAATCATAGCTAATCTCTCGCCTTATCCAATGGCAAAGCTAAATATTTATTCAGCAATCAATATTATAGTGGGTCTGATGCAAATAACTGGGTTGCAACCCGGTAATATTGCAGTATGGTTTGGATAATTTTAACACTCTTTGGGAACAAATGTCGACAATCTGTAATATTCAGCGCAGAATTTGTATATATATGGTATTAACTAAATAACGATTAATCAATGTATGTTAATCGGACTTGGTGTTCACAAGCACCTATTATTGTCAAGCTTTTATTTATTCTCAGTTAATTAACACGCTTCGCTACTTTAAAATAAATTATAAACCTGAATTTTAATATGAAGGAGCTTCGAGGCGAACAAGTATCATGATCAAGCATTTGCGTCTGATCTCTATGGAATTTAATATAAAATGGAACCGCTCAAGTTAAAAACAGAGGAGGAATGAGGGTCTTCCCGAAATGCAATGCGCGCCTCGGTGCGGTTCATTATTAAGATTAATAATAATAATAATTCAAGATATTTATTCTCAACGCGCTGTCCGATTAAAAACAAATGTTGAAATATATTGCGATTTTTGCTGTGAAGATCTCGTTTTCTCAAAGGTATGTGGTAACTTTTTTCTTAAGTAATTTAACAAAAGAATTTTTGAATAATTGTGTATATATACCATTTCAATTAAGGCTGTCCCCCGAGCAAAGCGGAAAAGTCGAATACGAGCGCCAAAGGCTGCTGGGATTTCCTAATAAATGAATGAATTTATTAGCGATTTCCAGCAGCCTTTCGAGCTCGTATTCGACTTTTCCGCTTTGCTCGGTGGACAACCTTAATTGAAATAGCTGTATATCGCATTTTACTTATGTTAAATTCCCATTGTATTTATGCATGTTTGGGTCAGTGAACATGACCTTCAAAGTTGCATTGAAATATTCTGGAGTAATGATGCTTGCGATGTTACTCTGAGTGTATATCAGTAGCTGAGTCAAAAATTAAGCATCTCGAAGATAATCTGCATAGTAGCCTAAATGGCATAATTAATGATATCAGTATGTTAAAAAATCGCCTGTCCGTAAACAATGCCGGTGACAAATATATGCCCGCTTTACAAGCTGAAAATGAGATGCTTAAGAATGATAATGAATCCCTAGTCGAGAGGCTTAACAATGCACTATTCATCAATTCGGATCTTAATACACGCGTCAAGATCTTGAGAAAAAAAAATCTTGTCTGGTGACGGCAATTAAGCTAGTTCAGTCGAGCGATAAGATTTCAGCTTTCAAAGATTGCAAAAACAACGAAGCGTCAAATGCTGACGATACTGAGAAGAATCAAACGAATCAAAATACTGTTGGTCAGCATTCAAAATCTGAATCCATAATATTGTCGGCTGACGAAAGCTCCCGGCATGTACGCTCTTTAAAACGCAAATACAAGTCTAATAAAGTCGCAAACCGTTCTAAATAAAAAATTCAGTATGGCTCTTCTAATGAAAAGTTCCATACAAATTCAACCAAGCATCAACGTAAAAACAAGCAGTCTACATATGACCAAAACGATAGCGTTATAATTGAAGCAGATCTTGACGCAGATGTCACAGGTCTTAACTCTAAATCTGCAATTAATCGAGGGGAAAAAGTTACAGTTATAGCAGGAGACTCTATTATAAAGAACATACAAGGCTGGCGACTGTCAAATCCCCAAAATAACGTTGTTGTTAAGAGTTTTGCGGGAGCTAATTCAACGGACATGGAAGATTACCTACGTCCAATTCTTCGTAAAGAGCCCGATAGAATTATTTTGCACGTGAGGACAAATGATATAAGTCATCAATTGGCTCGTAGAGTAGCACAAGGAATTGCCAATCTTGGCACTCAGATTGTCCAAGAATCGCCTGCAACTAGTTTAGTCATATCTAGTAATCTACCTAGAACTGACAAACCTGAACTATCTAAGAAAGCGGTTAAAGCCAATGAACTTATTAAGGCTTTTTGCAATGGAAACAACTGGGAATTTATGGACCATGCAGCTATTGACTCCTCCTGTTTAAACATGAGAGGCTTACACCTCAATCGTAAGGGTACCACAACTATAGCTAGGAATAGCTAGAAATATCTCTAGCTATATCAGTACTACATAGCTTATTGCCAGTGCACAGTCCGATACCAATTATTTAGAAACAGATACTAATAGCGACAAAGTCAATATGTTAGCTAATGTTTTTCGCAAAGGCCTTACTATGGCCTCTCTTAATATTAAGTCTTTTAGCTCATATTGATGAATTAAGAGTGTTTATTGATAATTCTAATATTGATATTTTAGCCATTAATGAAACTAAGCTAGAATTCTCTATTGATGACGATCAGGTCCATCTGGCGGAGTACGATATCGTTAGGAAAGATCGAATACAAAATGGTAGAAGTGGGTAGAAGTGGTTACAAGTGAGTCCTGCCATTATAAGATGGATAAAGTCGTTCCTTACCTCCCGCGAACAGTGTGTTAAAATCGGACCATCCTTTTCCTCATGGAAACCCGTTAACGGTGGCCTACCTCAAGGAACTAAACTTGGCCCTCTTCTCTTTGCCATTTTGGTCAATTCCCTCCTACAGGACTGGAATGGGCGGATAAAGTTTGTAGACGATGCTACTGCACTAGAAATTGTTCCACGTTGCTCTCCTAGCTTGCTACCTATTCTCGTAAATGATGTATCTCAGTATGCCTCAAGTAGAGGAATGAAGCTTAACAGTAAGAAATGTAAGGAGATGACAATATCCTTCCTCCAATACCACCTTCCACTTGATAATGCGATCTATATAGATGGTTCGTCAGTGCAATCAGTATCCTCCTTTAAACTGCTCGGTGTGCTACTGAGAGAGGATCTATCTTGGTGTGATCATGTCGACTATGTGATTAAAAAAGCAAATTCCAGACTCTATGCATTGCGGAAGTTAAAAAAGGCTGGGTTAAGCGATAAAGACCTTGTCACCATATATTCCTCCTTCATTCGGTCCCGAATTGAGTACGCTTCACCTGCGTGGTCAACGCTGACCCAAGGCCAGTCTGACCTTATCGAATCGATACAGAGAAGAGCATTACGTATCTTGCTTCCCGAAATGTCGTATCAAGACGCATTGAATTATACTGGTCTAAAAAAGTTAAGTACGCGTAGACATAATTCCTGTGAACAATTTATTCGGAAATTGAAGCTTAACAATGGTCCTATAAATCCTCTTAAGGATGTTGTTGCAACTCGTATACATCCAAATACTCATAATTATAATCTTAGGTCCGAATCAAGCTGGTCACTCCAAACGAACACAGAACGGTTTCAAAATTTTATAACTGTCAAATATAATTATTAATGTATTATTGATTTTGTAGTACTCGTGTATATTAATTCAGGGACCCAATTATCATTTGTGGACAGATTTAAACTAACTATTCAGAACGAACATTGAACGGTTTGAACTCAATTTTATTTGTAAATTTAATTTTTAATGTATTTACTTATAATCATGTAATTCAGTAGAGACTGCAATGTGATTAATTAAACAGATTATTATTATTATTATTATATATTTGCGAAGCAACTTGAATTTTCGTATTCGCGAGGATCTATTAAATGACAACCTTGAATGTCTCGTAATTGAAATTACTAACCCTCGCTCTAAGCCGTTTCTTGTCGGTACTTGGCACAGAAGCCCAGGCTCGATTTGCCCGCGCCCGCCTGTGCCTTCCTTATAACGAGGGAAGGAAAGAGACATTGAGAACAAAATAGCCCAGACTGGGCATAAGTCACACGAAACTACACTGTAAATTAAAAAGGGCCAAATCGACCCCAAATTCCGTTTCAGCCCTTTTGGGGCCAAAGCTGTTTTGGCCCTATGTGAAAGCAATTTTGGCATTGGAGAGCTGGATCTGCACCGACGGAGCCATTTTAGGTATGGAGGAAAGCCAAATTGGCCCTACCCTTTGCCGTAACGGACCCATCATTTTCCAATTTAGCCCCATCAATTGCCAATATGGCCCCACAGACCAAAACGACTCTCATGTCCGGGTTTGTTTTGGCCCCACATATAGGGGCCGCTTTTGATCAACACTTTGGCCCCTATGAGCTTCGTTTCGGCTCTCCATCGCGGAACGACTCTCGCATAGGTCAAATCGACCCTGGAATGAAATCGGCCCTTTTGTCGAAACGACCCTTCTGTCAAATCGACTCTTAATTGTGTCAAATCAACCCTTCTGTCAAATCGACTCTTAAATGTGTCAAATCGACCCTTCTGTCAAATCGACTCTTAATTGTGTCAAATTGACCCTTTTGTCAAATCGACTCTTAAATGTGTCAAATCAACCCTTCTGTCAAATCGACGCGTAAATGTGTCAATTCGACTCTTCTGTCAAATCGACTCTTAATTGTGTCAAATCGACTATTAATATTGTGTCAAATCGACCCTTCCGTCAAATCGACAGTCTTAATTCTGTCAAATCGACCCTTCTGTCAAATCGACTCTTAATTGTGTCGATCGTCCGTCGTATATCGTATCAAATTAACTTCCGCATAACACTTAAAGGCACAGTTCAGCCTGTTGAGCGATGGTTTTTAAGGCACATTTCAGCCCTGTTAATTGAAAAAACTAACTAGGAAAATCAATTAAGCACAATTCAAAATCAGTAAACTCGATGTTTTTAACAATATGAATGTTTTAAAATGTTAAAAACATTAAGATTGGTGATTTTGAATTATGCTTAATTGATTTTCCTAGTTAGTTTTTTCAATTAACAGGGCTGAAATGCGCCTTAAAAACCATCGTTCAACAGGCTGAACTGTGCCTTTAAAGAATGCATATGCTTGCAGTCGCAAAGAAAAAGAAGAGGACGTTTTTTGGATTATACAAGGTGAGATTTGATGTTTCATTTTGTAGGGTATTGAAATTTGTTTTCCAGATTTTTAGTAATTTTATCGTAAATATAAATACGGTATTTGTAAAAATTAATCACGAGAATTGAATGCCTAGGTGTAATATTAATGATCGCGGGAACTGGGAACGAGAATGCACGCGCCCGTAAGCAATCGGGTTTGCGATCATTCTCGAGCATGCGTACTAACTTTTGGCGCCATTATCGAACGTTAGCCGTTGGGATTTGCTTCGACGAGGGATACGGATAAAACACAAGCGTAAACCTCGTTTGTTGCAGTATATTCTGGACAAATAAACAATTTATTAGGAAAATACATTCAAGAAACGTCTCGTGCTGTACTAGCCTAATTCTGGCAAATGTTATTTACTTTCTTCACCTTCGTGTCGAAGACTGTTGTTTGCTGATGGCCAAATCACGACACCGGACATCAATTATTCAAAATATGTTCTTATAGCTTCACGTTTACGATACGAAACACGTTTTAATGTAAGATTATTTATTTTTTGTATATGTAGGTTCTAGTTGAAAGTGACAGCGACAATGAAAAAAGTGCAAACAACATTGAAATATCCAGTTCACTACCAGCTCAAATCCTGCGACATATCACTTGCTAGTAGCCCAGTATAGTTTAACCTTTCCCAGTCAAGAATCATCTCCTGAATCAGGCATACTGGCAGCACTGGTTCATTTGATAATGTAAGTTTTTGAACTGGTATTTTAGATTATAGCCTCGGTCAAATGAGGATGAAAGTCATGCATGAATTGCTTATAAATACACAAAGGACATTTCAAGTTCCACATGAACGAAATATTATTAAAGCTTTGATGAGTGTTCCAACTACGTTTCAACTTAGCTAATTAAAATACTCTCATCCTCGTTTGATCCATAATTATTTGTTGATTTTACTCGATACTAAATAGTGAAACATCGAATCCAGATAAAATCTTTTGCAGAACCCACTGTAATTCCGAGCTGTAATCACATAATTATATAAAAGTCGTTTCAGTAGCAGCAAAAGCCAAACTAAACACCAACTAGGATTAATAGGTTTAGCTTTTAGGCCGAGAATAATACACGATTGACAATTTTGTGGCTGATTGATTTAATAGTATACTGTATATTGATGTTGTTGTTGTATACAGGACATCTGACTTACATGTCAAATTAATAGTCAAATCTATGATTATATTGAGCATGGCAGATTTGACATTTGAAACATTGTTGATGTTAATAGCCCAATGAGTCGCATTGTGCCCTGATGCGCACTAAGTATTTATTACTTTACTCTTGTTATCTAACGCTAGGCAATTTTACTCATCAAGGGGAGAGCACTGGCGGTTAATGTGTTAACTAGCCTATCTGCCCATGTTTACAGTTAACCCATTGAGTCGCATTGTGCCCTAATGCGGCCTAATTTATTATTTTACTGTGCCTATCGCAGGAAATTTTACTCATTAAGGGCAGAGCGCTGGCGCTTAATGTGTTAACTGGCCTATCTGCCCATGTGTCTAGTTAACCCATTGAGTCGCATTGCGCCCTAATTTATTATTTTACTCTGTCTAACACCAGATGATTTTACTCGTCAAGGTAAGGGCGCTGGTGCTTAGTGGGTTAATATTTGACCATGTTTATAGTTAACCCATTGAGTCGCATTGCGGCCTACTTTATTTTTTTTACTCTGTCTCGAGAGGAGAACGCTGGTGCTTAATGGGGTTAATATTGAAAATATAGATCAACATTTGTCAAAACTCATGACTTGTGCAATCATTTCTGTAATAATTGAAACTTAGTGGATTTGTTGTAGCTACATCAAATAAATGCTAGCCAAAAACATATTCAAGTCAATCGAAGAGAATGTAGAATTGCACTTTACATAAAATTCCCTAGTTATTGTACATTAATGAAAAAGCATTTGAAATGGAAATATATTGTTTTAATTTTATTTCTGTGGTTTGTACTATGATATACATGGGCTATACACTCTTTGGGAACCCGCAGGGCTGTTGGCAGAGCATTTCCATGATCTGGAACTTCAGTCCTAAACACGATGTGTGGGTGCGAAGATGTTGTGTAGGAACAGAACTGTACAGATTAGAAATATGATTACTGATATTTTCCAAAGAAAAACTATTAATATATAGAAGAGGAAGAAAGAGGCAATAAATAGCCCAAAGTATCTGTTGTACATTTGAAATTTAAAAATGGTAGGCTTATTAAGGATGAGATACAGAGAAAAACAGTAATGCAGAACTACATTCTCTTAAATTGTCAAAATTAAACGCTACCAGTCTTGGTCTCGTTTTAAACTTGAATAACGAAAAGTCTAAAAATATAAAAACTATAAGAACAGATCAGCTAAATGATGAAGGAAAGCTGTCATTTTAGGAAAGTATTGTTTTGGGGTGTGTGAACTCATGAGGTTACATGTTTCTGGTGAACCTGCTTGCTGCAGCAAAAATTTATTAATCATTTGTGACATAATTCACAAGATGTCTATTTTAACCTGTGGGTTGCCAAACTTCTTAAATATGGAATTTGTTTTGTCTGACCAAGATATAATGAATACCACTAGTGACACGAGTATGTCCAATTAATATTTAACTAGAAATAAATGCATGCAGCAACCCCTAGCCTATATTTTCCAAACATTGATTTAACATGAACTATTAGCAATTGGCCAGCACTAAACACAGGCTCACGTTGTGTCAAGTGTTGTCAAGACAACATAATGTCACATATTTTAATTTTTTTTTGAGTAATTTTGCAAGTGTTCATACCACAGAATCTACCATACATAATTTTAAACAAATAGATAGGTGAAGTAATTCAAACAAAATGATTTTGAACTTTATTACTCTACTCTGTCGAACGCCTATTCTACTCATAAAGGGGAGAGCCCTGGTGCTTAATGGGTTAAATAAGATTGTATAGTTATATGTATATCATGTATTATGTTTTTATGCAGTCTCCCTGAACCACTTGTACCAGGCTATGGAAATTCATGTTTCCAATTTTGTATTTATTTTTCTTATGATACAGTATACTGTAAATTTGAATAATATTTGTGTGCTTATAGTGAGCTTATTTTTAGGAGAGTTTGTTGCGAGGCAGCATATATTTTGATATTTCAAAATATTACTGTATATTGGTATGTTATACTTAATCAGGGTTCGAATTAATTCTGAAAAAATGGTTCGTGAATTAATTTTTTTATTTTAAGGAAATTTTAAAGAATTTTCAAGGAATTTTCTCTAATTGGAAGTTAAAAAGTGGAAGCACTGCAATTTTCAAATATATAATATACATCGCAAACTCGCAAAGAAATAGAATTTTGGGTGGAATTATAATCGTTTTTAAGTACAATCTAACAACAATATCTTCAGAATATATTATCCTTCATCACATTTACAAAGAACTGAATTTATTATTGTATATTTTTATCAATTTAAGAGACTTTTGATTCGTGATTTTGATCAATTTCTATGAAATTGGGTTCGTGAAAAATGAAAATTGATTCGTGATTCACGAATCACGAACCGTTATTTCGAACCCTGTTAATGCTTTTGGAAGGGTTATAGGGGTTGGGTGTGATATACTTTTTCAGGTATTTTGTGTCTGATGTATGTAAGCAGGGCTCGAAACTTGAAATTTTTGTCAGTATCCAAGTGGATACCAGCATCATAGAATCTAGTATCCATCCTTGAAATATAGTAACCCAGATTTGGATACAAGATATTCTATTTCCAGTATCTAAGCAAGGCAAAATTTTATCTTGAAACCAGGCCTTCAGTTGCTGAGCAAAAACCAGGCCTTTAGTTTCAATAATAAAAATATGTATTGAAATTTGAAAAAATTGAAAAT